CCTAAAACTAAAAAAATAAATATTTAAAAAAAGAAAGGAAGGAAATCTATTTCTAAACCTTCAGCTTTGGCCAGCACCTATCACAGACTTGGAGAAAAGCCACCGGGGGTCAGAGGTCAGGCATGTGACTCTGATTGGGCCTTTCCTGCTGATTTGAAACAATCCCTAAGACTTAGGACCTGGAATAGATGAACATCAAAATATTAGCCAGGCGCTTTGGAAGGGATGATCTCAAATTCAGACAATTTCCTAAGACCCTGTCTCAAAATTTAAAAGATACAATAAAAAGGGCAGGGGATATTGCTCGGCGGTACGGTACCCCTAGACTCAATCCTCAGCACTGATAAACAAATACAATTGGGGAGGTGAGTTAAATCCCCAGTACTTAGGGTGGGGGGGTGACGAAGAAGCCACTATCATTTCTAGGGGGATCTGATGGAATCCTCAGGATTTCACGCCAGAATAAATTTTGATTGAATTTACAGCGGTCAAAGAGATGGGATCTGCCTAATGGAGCGGCTGAGCACTGCGCCAGAAGTTTGAGGCTGTGTGTTTAATGCAGTACAGACGCGAGCAAAACCGTTTTGAGTTCAAATCCAGGTTCTCTTTGACTTTTTGTGTCCTTGAGCAGACTGTTTCAATATCTTCAGTTTACGCCTCACATAACGACCAAGATAAAACGCACCTCCTAGGACTGTGGTTGAGATGAAATGGCCAATTAATGTGAATTGCTTCACCTCACAATGGGATCGCAGGAAAGGATTACAGCTTTGTCTGGAGGTGCCTCAGGTAGGTAATACAATCACTCTCGGCGTCCTGAAGTCTTGAAATGGAAATTTAAAAGTTGATGGTGGGCTCCACCCTGGAGGGCGTGGTTGAAGGGGCGGGGAGGGAATCCGGAACCCAGAGCATCCCTCAGGGCGATAAAAGGGCCCAGCACCGTGCCCTGCTCCCAGTGCGAGTTCTGTTGGTTGTAGGCGCAGCTCTCGACGTGCGCAGCGCAGCCCTCGACGTGCACAGCGCAGCCCTCGACGTGCACAGCCCTCGACGTGCACAGGCCTCGCTGGGCTTAGGCCTGGGCTGGAACTCTGGATCTACTTCTGGTGAGTCTACGCCTCCAAATCCGTGGGCAAAAAGTGGTGTCCCAGACTGGGAAATGAAAAACTCCAAGTTGGCGGGTTGGTTAATGCGGGCAGACGAGGCAGAGGCGTACGAAGTGGATCCTTTACTCTGGGTCACGTTCATGGATCACCTCCATGGATCACCTCCACATGGTTGCCCTACCCAGAAAATACCTTCCACCAAACAACCTGGGTCTGCACTGGACAATGTCGGAAGCACCTGAAGGCCTCTGGAGGCCAGAGTCGAGGTCTTGACTGCCCGCAGGAGTCCCAGACTGTGGCCCGGTGCTGGGCATCTGCAAACGTCGTTGTGGGTAGAAGGCACCGAAGGATACGCACAACAGAACCCCAAGCGGATGAGTCAGAGGGACCTGGGAGGGTTCAGTTAAAAACACGTTAGAGCCAGGCGAGGTGTTGCACTCCTGTAGTCCCAGCGATTTGGAGGGCTGAGGCAGGAAGATCACAAGTTCATGGCCAACCTCAGCATTTTAGCGAGGTCCTAAGTAATTTAGTGAGACCGTGACTCAAAGAAAAATAAAATAAAAAGGACATACAGTTAGCGAGCCAGAGACAGAGGCTTATCTATGGATAGGACTGATTGTTTTAAGAATCCCTTTAATCTGGGATAGGTCCCATCTGCTTTCCTGAGAACCTGAAGCCTTAGCGATCTGAGGCAGATCCTGAGCCGGTGGTGTGGAAATCAGAAATTCTTCTTTGGTTCCGTTTCTCTGCGGTATCAGGCAGCTGTGCTTGACGAATGGAGTTCTCCGGCTCAGAGGAGACGCCGGTTCAGTGGTGGTGGGGGGAGGGGTAGACAGGAATTACACGAGTCCGCTGGAGAAATGGTTGGAGAGGAAATACAAAAGGAAGATGTTATATTAGAGTTCGATTCCCCCCGCTTCCCCGTACTAGGGATTAAACTCCTTGAGCTTCATCACTCAGCCACACCCGCACCTTTTTTAAAAATTTTATTTTGAGACAGGGTCTCACCAAGCTGCTGAGATTGGCCGCAAACTTGCAATCTGGGCCTGACTGGAGGTTGATTATAATGAGGACTTTATCGCATAGAATTTCTGTATCCACTAATTCCCTTCCCCCATCGCAGGGTCAACCACCATCCCACTGCCTCCCATGAATTTGACTGTTGTGAAGTATGCTATGTAAACAACATCACATGGTATTTGTCTTTTTTTTTGTGACTGGTTTATTTCATGATGCATAATGTCCTCAAGGTCAATCCACATTATAGCATATGTCAGCATTTTCTTATATTTTAAGGCTAAAAAAAAAATCCATTATTTGTATATACCACATTTTACTTATTAATTCATCTGGGTGGCTTTCATGTTTTATCTACCATGCTATGAACATGGGTGCACAAATACCTCTTCCAAACCCTGTTTTCTTCAATTCTTTGAGGTAAATACTGAGAAGCAGGATTGCTGGATCATATGGTAATTCTGTTTTTAATCGCTATACTGTAGTTGTGCCATTTTTGTTATGCATTCCTGCCAACGGTACAGAAGAGTTCCAATTTTTTCACATTCTCAACAACACTTGTTATTTTTCTGGCCTTTTTTTTTTTTTTTTTTGTGTGTGTGTGTGTGTGTACTGGGGATTGAACCCAGGGGCACTTTACCAGTAAGCTATGTCTCCTGTCCTTTTTATTTTTTATTTTGAGACAAGGTCTCCCTAAGTTCAAGGCTGGCCTTGAACTTGAACTTGAAATTCTCCTGTCTCAGCCTCTGGAGTCCACCTGGCCCAAGTCACTTCACTAATTTTTAAAATGGTATTAATCATGACTCCCATATCCTGGAGTCATGGTAGAAATGAAATGAGATGAGAAATGTGAAAGTTCATTCATTTAACTGAGTCCCTAATAAGATGTTTGGGAAAGGGGAGCATCCTTGGAGAAGCCTCTGGGATGAGCACTCTGCAGGAGAAGACAGGCTAGTCGGTAGGAGGAGCATAGGAGGAGTTTGCTTTTTATTTTTTATTTTTTTTCTTGAATGACTGTTGGTCGTGTGATGAACATATCCTGTGTGAATGACTTGTTCCCACGCTAGGCCTTCACAGTAGCCATCATACGCTAGTTTTAAAAGTGTTTGTGTATAGGTTTTGGTTCATAGTCACCATTTCTGCCTTTTCTTGCAAATTCCTGTGTTCATTGCCATTGTACATGGGCCCAAAATGTGCACATTCTTAAAGTTTTAGGTTCAAAAACATTTTTTTTTGTTTACCTGCCCTATTTCTAGCATTTGTTTTCTTTCATCTTTTTTTTTTTCAACTGTGAGATTTTATTTATTTTTTTATTGGTTGTTCACAACATTACAAAGCTCTTGACATATCATGTTTCATACATTAGAATCAAGGTAGCAGAATACAACAGCCACTAATATGGCAGTATGTAAAAATGTGGATGTGTAACCCAGGCGATTCTGCAATCTGTATTTGGGGTAAAAATGGGAGTTCATAACCCACTTGATTCTAATGGAGTTTGCATTTTAGAGATGTTAATCTGACTGTTTGTGTGGAGACTGTACCAGCCTGAGGCAGTTTCAGGCTTTCAGGCTTCAAGGCTTGAGATGATGGTGGAATGGGCTAGATAGTGTCAGTAGGGATGGGGAAGAGTTTGTGGAATTGGGATTAAAGCTGGGATAGACTCTTACCTTTTCTTCTTCTTTTTTTTTTCCTTTTTTTCCTTTTTCAGGATCCCACAACTGAAGATCTCATTTCATCATGTAATAGCAAAGAGATGAACTCCTTCTTCCAGACAATTGAGGAAATTGAGGAGCTTCTCCAGGTCTTCACTGAATCTTATAAGGACATGGAAAAAATGTCAGCAGTGCCAGAGCCACAGCTCTATATGCCTCTGACCATCTCTGGTGAGGGCAGACTTCATGAGTTCACCCAGGGTCAATCAATGCCTTCCTCGAGGCCTTCAATGGAGACTTCTGTATGTTCTAACATCCCTGGAATGGTCCTCACCCAGCAGACTCCTCCTAGTGAAGCCCTTGATACATTCCTTGGAGAACTAAGTGGGACTTTGTCCATGAACCCCCAAATGACATCCTTTGATCAGATAAAATCCTCAGCAGAATTCCAGATGATGAATATTGCCGACACCCCAGAGACATCACTCATTGATTGCCAGAAAACTACCGTCACTGCAAGCATGATGACAATCTCTAGTGAAGTTAGCCAAAAGAAGACATTAATAGGTAATCAGACTCTCAGTGAGATCCAGATGACCCTCAGTGAGAATCAGACTCTCTATGGAAGCCAACCAACAACTCTTAAAAAGGGCCATGTGATGACCTTCAGGGGTTTTCAGACTCTGATTGAGGACTATACCATGACTTCCAGTGGTGACCAGACCCTCTGTGGGGGTCAGATGACAATGGCAAGTGGTAATCAGATCCTCTATAGGTGTCAGATGACAACCCCTAGTGGTGACCAGACCTACTCTGGGGGTCCGATGGCAAATCTCAATAGTAACCAGACCCTCTATGGGGGTCAGATGACAACCCCAGGTGGTGACCAGACCTTTTATGGGAGTCAGATGGCAACCCCAGGTGGTGACCAAACCCTCTACAGGGGTCAGATGGCAACCCCTGGTGATGACCAGACCCTCTACGGGGGTCAGATGGCAACCCCCAGTGATGACCAGACCCTCTACGGGGGTCAGATGGCAACCCCCAGTGATGACCAGACCCTCTACGGGGGTCAGATAGCAACCCCCGGTGGTGACCAGACCCTCTACGGCGATCAGATGGCAATCTCCAGTGGTGACCAGACCCTCTACGGCGATCAGATGGCAATCTCCAGTGGTGACCAGACCCTTTATGGCGATCAGATGGCAATCCCTGGTGGTGACCCGACCCTCTACAGGGGTCAGATGATGCCCCATCAGTCTTCATCAATACCATACCCAGGATTCCTAAACGATTCAAGCTCCCCTTTGATTCAGGGACAATTCCCAGAAAATAAATGGAAACTCAAGACTCAGAGATATCAGTTTCAGAAGAATTCTAACATTCTGAAGCCCTATGCCTGCACCTACCAGGACTGTGGGAAATGTTACACAAAGTATTCCCACCTCCAAATCCATGAGCGCAAACACACTGGTAAGTGAGGGCCCCAGTGTTGGGGAGGGGCAAGTAGATTTGTATTTTTGTAAAACTGGGATTGGTTGAGATTGTTGCCACCCCACCTCTTGGCCTGAGACTCCAGGCACTTACCGCCAGGCCTGTCTTAGAGGCTCTTGCCTCTACCTTTCCTGGTCACTTCATGGAATACCTGGTAGGTATGGTAAATTGAAGATACCCCTTCCTTCACTCTTCCTACACCCCACTGCCTTTCCTGTTAACCTCTACCTCCCTTCTATTTTATTTTTCTTTCTGTCCTTCACAGTTTTCCTCCAATTCATGTTGCCTATCAGCATTTCCACTTTCACCCCCACTAGTCTTCTCTCTTCTGTCTCTCTCCCACCCCAACATGCTCGACCTTTTCCTCCTTCACTTTCAAAATCCCTGCCCCACCTGACCCTGACGAATAAAAGCCTCTCTTTTCTCTGTTTCAGGGGATAAGCCCTATGTATGCAATGAGATAGGATGCACATGGAAATTCACCCGCTCAGATGAGCTCCGACGCCACAAAAGGAAGCACAGCGGAGAACGCCCCTACCTGTGCACCAGATGTTGTAAGACTTTTGCACGATCAGATCACCTAAAGCAACACGAAAGAGTCCACAGATAATTTTCACAATTGTGTATACCTAGAATTCTCTGTAAAACTTTTTATTGGTACTCAGCACTATGCTAGCATATAGTGGATTTGTAAAGTTTTTCATTTTTTTCCCTAAAGCACACAAGGAAAATATGTATTTTCATATAGAAACTGGATAATACAAAATGGAATAAATAAAATCAGAAGTACTCTTCATTCACTCTCCTCTATAGAGTAACTGCTTTTTGTCAGTGTGCTATAAGCCCTTCTAGATCTTTCTCTGCATTGGCCTCTGTGTGTGCACTTATAAAAATGTATTTAGCCAGGTGTGGTGGTGCATGCCTATAATCCCAGCCGCTTGGGAGGCTGAGGCAAACAAACAAACAAACAAAAAAACCCAAATGTATTGTGAAAACTGTCAATTCCTCCAATAGATCAAAACCAACGTGGAAATTGAACATGGTGGTACTTGTAAACCTAGCAACTCAAGAGGCTAAGACAGGAGGATTGCAAGTTCAGCCTCAGAAATTTAAAATCACTGTCTCAAAAAGGGCTAGGGATGTGGCTCAGTGATAAAGTACCCCTGGGTTTAGTCTCTAGTACCAACAAAACCAATCAATATGGAGCCATAAATTGAGAAGGGTGGGTAGTCTCATATTTGTATGTCTGAAAACTGTGACACTCTCTGAAGTTTATTAAGCAAAAATGCTTTTGATAATAGTATTAAAAGAATTCTGACAGCACACACAAAAAGAAAACAACAAAAAGTTGCTTCTTTCCAGCAATATGAATGTTGCCAATTAGTAATTTTCAGCTTCAGCTCCCTCAATGAGCCTCTGCAGCTAATAAACATCGTCTCTGGACAGATTATATGAAAACCTCCCCCATTTTTTTCCTTTTTTTTAATATTTATTTTTTAGTTTTAGGTGGACACAATATCTTAATTTTTTACGTATGTGGTGCTGAGGATCGAACCCAGTGCCTCACACATGCTAGGTGAGCACTCTACCACTGAGCCACAACCCCAGCCCCATATGAACCCTTTTTTTTAACCTTTAAAAGTTTCCTTTGCCCTAGCTCCCCTCCTTTAAAAAAAAATTATAGATGGACACAATATTTTTATGTGGTGCTGAGGATCAAACCCAGTGCCTCACACATGCTAGGCGAGCACTCTACCACTAAGCCCCTGCCCCAGCTATGCCCTAGCTTCCTTGGATACGCTTATCTGTCATAACACACATATATCCTGGATTATAATTGCCTGCTCATTTCCAATTAGACTCATTTTTCTTTAGAATCTCTCTTCTGCTACTCAGGGTGACATAATGTGGTGCCAGAAGTAGGATCCAAATGGAGATCCCCTTTGAAAGAATCTGCAGCCCTTGGATTTGAGTGTGGTACCCACTTGAGGCCTGTGTGATTTCCTCTTCCTTGGCTCACCTTTTCTGCCCCACGAGTCTTCTCAGGATGAGCTGCTGCTTTTTGGTAGAAATTCCATGCCTTTATTTGGAATCTGGTTTGAATAAAACTGCATCCCTTCTGGGACTATAAAGGATTGATTTTTCCTGGCAAGTTTGATCCTCAGCACCACATAAAAAGACAGTGCCTCTTACTGATTCTGATAAGTACTCTGGTTTACACCTCTGTAAATGGTTTTTCTCTTTTCCTTATTTTTTCTTTTTCTTTGTATGTGTGTGTATGAACATCTTTAAAAAGCTAAAATAAACCAGGTGAGGTAGTCCACGCCTACAATCCCAGCAGCTCAGAAGGCTGAGGCAGGAGGATTGCAAGTTGAAGGACAACTCCAGCAACTTAATGAGACTCTGTCTCAAAAAATAAATAAATAAAAATAAAATTTTTTTTTAAAGGCTGGGGATGCAGCTTAGTAGTAAAACACCGCTGGTTTCAAACAGCAAGATTAACTGGGCCCATTGAATTTTCTTTTGCTCTTAAGAGATGAATACAAAACAATGGGGTTTTCAATGGCTAAGGCTTGCCAGAACATTTTGCCTTTGGGGACTCCAGCTGGCTATGTGTTTAAACATCACTGCCTATTGTCATGCACACTTAACCAATGGACACTTTACTCCAAGGATAATTTAGAGTTCAGATGACCTTTCATTCAAATTCCCTAGTTTTTTTTTTTTCCTTAGAACTAAATTAGAAGACCACAGCTATAAGGTTAAATAATCTCAGTTGGCACATTGAGATTTCAAAGTGCAATTAGAAAACTGCTCACTGCAAATTACCATTTCCAAACTGGCTGAGACTGGTCTCCTGACCCTCCTCCTCCTCTTCTTACAATTCCTTTTGTCTTCATCCTTACCTGAATGAACTCCTTTCCCAAACTCCGCAGCTACAAACCCAGTTCTTTCTACAGCCACCAACTCAGTTTTTAATAAGTGAAATTTCTAGGAAATTTCCAATAGGGAGAAATGAAAAGATTAAAAAGGTGTTATTCTGGCATATTAAGGTAAAGACATTTGAAAAGTAGCAAGTGCAAAAAAAAAACAACAACAAAAAAAACACCACCTCAATCTTTGCAATGATTCTTTAAAAACGAGGATAAAATTCCCACGTGAAAGACTCTCAAGGAAAGACAGGGTCCTTCAAAGACAAAAAATTGAGATCGGGATAATATTGGATAAATTTTAGATAACTCTTATGTTTTTAAGCCTCCCCATAGGGTTTAGTCACTTCACAGTTTTTTGATCTTTGTCCAATCCAGTATATTTTAATTGACTCCTAACTGCTTCATGAGCATTTTCTTATTGCTTCTGCTGATATATCCAAGCTGGGGTGATCTGTATTCTATTCTTGCAGAAGCCTGGATTGATAATTGTTCCTGAGATTTTTTTTTTTAACCCATCTTTCCCTGTTGACTGGGTTCTCCAAGATCTATTCTCTGAGTTCTGTTTTGACTTCCATCCAACACCCTGCTTGTGTAGTATCTCCCTGATGGAAAGTTCTAGGTATAAAGTCAAGGATGTGATCCATCCCACTCATTTCCTAAGGGGCACTTTGAAAAGCACTTTCTTCCTGGAGTCCTAAAAGGGGAGCAGACCACAAAGCCCCAGTGCTGCAATTTTCCCTGCAACATTCTGAGATTCTTCTGGATCCCATCCACTGTCTCCTCCAGAGACACCAGTGTTCAATCCCTAAGTCTTTGAGAGATCAAAATGGCATTCTGAAAAAAAAAATTTAATTTTAATTTAATGAAATAATGTGTATAAGTTATAGTTGCAGACATTAAAAATGAATACATGCAAAAATCCATCACCTGGTATCATGCAATCAAGTGCTAAGATGGCCAATTCAGGGGTTGGGGATGTGGCTCAAGCGGCAGCACGCTCACCTGACTTGCGTGAGGCCTGGGTTAGATCCTCAGCACCACATACAAACAAAGATGTTGTGTCTGCTGAAAACTAAAAAATAAATATTAAAAATTTTTTAAAAAACTTATAAAAAAAAAAGATGGCCAATTCAGATAATGCACCAAACGAAATGATAATCAGTCGGTGTGCAGTGGTGCATACCTGTAATCTCAGCGGCTCAGGAGGCTGAAGCAGGAGGATAGCAAATTCAAAGCCAGCCTCAGCAACTTAGTGAGGCACTTAGCAACTCAGCAAGACCCTGCCTCTAATAAAACACAAAAAAGGAGGTGGTTTGGTGGTTAAGTGTCCCTGGGTTCAATTCCCAGTACCAAAAAAAAAAAAAAAAAGGTGGGGGGGAACGCAGTTGATAATCAGCCCTTTACTTAGGGCTACATAGTAAGAAATAAAAAGAGGGACAGGCTCTCTGAGGTTTTGTGTTTCCCTATGGAAAGATTTAAGGTAGAATTATCTAATTATCTTCAGGCCCCTGAACAAAAGGCTCCTCCTCCTCCTGCCTTTTAAAGAAAAGGGTTAGTTGGGGAAGGAAGAGAAAGGGATAAAAGTGGAAAAGTAATGAATCAGATGAGAAAAAGAGCCTTAGCCCAGGCTCCTATGTGAGCTTTCCAATGCTATGACAAAATAACTGAGATAAGAACCTCAAAGGAGGAAAGATTTATTTTGGCTGCATTTCAGGTTTTAGTTCATGATTGCTTGGCCCTGTTGCTCTTGGGCCTGTGGCAGCACAGCGCATCACGGAGCAAGCATATGACAGTGGAGGCTTGTTCACCTCACTGTGAACAGGAAGCAAAGAGAGAAATTGGAAGAGGCTAGGGTCCCAATATCCCCTTCAAGGGCACTCCCTCAGTGACCTAACTTCCTTCCATTTGGGGACATTCAAAATTCAAACTCTAGAAGTCCCTAAGGACTTCTGAACAAAAGACTCTTACCTTTTAAAGAAAATATTTTTGCAGATATTCATTTTTATACTTTGTACATTATTTCATGTTTCAAAAATACCATTAAAATATTTTTTCAGACTGCTGAGACCTGAATGGAGGAACTTGGGAATGGCAGGCCCATGGTGGGGGATACAGGACAGTTCTCTGGGTGGCCTTGAACTGACCTAATCTGTCCCCCTTGCGGTTCATAACTATAAAATGTGCTAGGAGTGCAACATCCTCAGATACAGGGAAATGGGTTAGACAGAGCAGGCTCTGTCACAGCATACCCTAGGAACAGGCTATACCTCAACACATTGGCCCAGCAAATCACTTGACTCCAGGGTATGTAATCCAAGATGGGCCATATTCCAAGAGGCCTTGACTACAGTGCAAGTAGGCCACATGTGGTAGATATTCTGCCCACCCAGACATCTTTCCCAAGACTTTAATGATCAATTAGCAATGATTCCTAGGCTTCTCTTGTCCTTTTCTGCCCTTTTTTTTTTTTTAAATTGTGATGTGGGGGATTGAACCCAGGGTCTTGTGCATGCAAGACAAACACTCTATTAACTGAACTATATCCCCAGCCCCCTTTCTGCCTATTTTTCAGTAATACTTTTTGCTTCATCTAATTTGTAGGTAGGTGGGTTCAGTTTCACTGGATTTAGTCAAGTTGGTAACCAGCGCACGGGGAACCTGTCATCGTTGGGACACTGAGCCCTTGGCTGCAGCTTCCCTCAGAAAATAAGTCTGGTGTGGGGAAAGCGTCAGGCTTGCCCCAGGTAGTCTTATAATTACCTATGGTCGGGCTTAAAAGATCACACCCATGATTTTGGCCTGGAACTGAACTCTCCAGCTCCATCCCTTGATCTTTC